ACACCACCACCACCGTTGGATGGGGGGGGGGAGAATTTTTTTAGACCCCGGGGGGAAAACCGGGTGGGGGGATACGGGGCCCCTTTAGGGTTTTGTTTTGGGAAACCTTTTAGGCGGAGTTTTTTGGGGCCCCTTTGCCGAACCCCCGGGGGTTTTTTTTTTGGGGGGCCTTTCAAAAACGGTTCTTCCCGTTTTGGGGGGGCCCGGGGGGGAGAAACCTTTTTTTGGGGGGCCTTCCTGGCTTGGTTCCTTTGAAAACCTTGGGCAAAGGTTTTCCCGTGGAAAGGGGGGTTGATTTGCCCGGGGGTAAAAAAGGAATCCAGGATCAAACCTTTTTCCCCTGGGGGGTTTTCCTGGCAAACGGCAAAACCCTGGTTTTGGGGGATTCCCCCCTCCCTTCCCCCCCCCCCCCTTTTTTTTTTTTGGAAACGGGGGGGGGGTTTGGGGGCAAAAAAAATCTTTTCCAAGGGTTTTAAGGGGGAAAGGAGAAACCCCCGGGGGGGGGGGGGGGGGGGCGTACTCATTTGTTGCTTGCCGTAGTCATTTGACCATTGACCACGCGTCCCTTTCGACACGGAGCACCGCTCCTACCCCTACTAGAGACACCACCAACATTTGGGAGCTCTTTACGTTTCTGCCACAAACTACGTAAAAATTTCTTGCACATCTTATCCCCGTCCTCTAGGGCCTCTTGTGCCCACCATCTATCCCCAATTATCGCGATCGTTTGTTCGCTGTTGTCTAATTTACCAAACTTGTCCATGTCACACCCTCTTTGTCTCATTTCCTCCTGGGGGCGAGGGGTGTACTCATAGTCGTGCATGCCGTAGTCGTTAGACCATTGGCCTCGCATCCCTACAAAGCCGGGACGGAGCATGCCGGGTTCTCACCGGACCAGGCTCTCACATCACCAAGCGCGAAGCGCCGTGAGGTATTCGGCGAGTCGCATGAGGGGTGCGCTGCATCCTGCTAAGGGTGTTCGGCATCTTGTGCTTACTTCCTTGCCTACGGATGACAGCTCCGTATGACGTAATTTATTTTCTGGTGCTTTCACTTCCAGAGACAGCTGTAAGCGGTGTGTAACTGCCTCGAGGGTGCTTGACCAATATTAACACAACGTGCGATTATCCCCTTTGCGCGGAGTCAGGGTTCTCAACTCCGCACAACATAATTTACTCGACCACCATTCATGGTTACCGCAAAAAAAAAAAAAACGAAGGCAAAAAAAAAAGCTGTAACCTGGTTGCCGAGCTCACGAAGTGATTGGCTTGTTTTACAACATCGCTGCCAAGCGACGAAACCCCAACCTCGATGGCAAACACAGGGGGGGGGGGTGTACTCATAGTCGTGCATGCCGTAGTCATTAGACCATTGACCTCGCATCCCTACAAAGCCGGGACGGAGCACGCCGGGTTCTCACCGGACCAGGCTCTCACATCACCAAGCGCGAAGCACCGTGAGGTATTTGGCGAGTCGCATGAAGGGTGAGCTGCATCCTGCTAAGGGTGTTCGGCATCTTGTGCTTACTTCCTTGCGTACGGATGACAGCTACGTATGACTTGATTTATTTTCTGGTGCTTTCACTTCCAGAGACAGTTGTAAGCACTGTTTAACTGCCTCGAGGGTGCTTGACCAATATTAACACAACGTGGTGCGATCATCCCCCGTTGCGCGGAGTGAGGGTTCTCGACCCCGCACAACATGATCTACTCGACCACCATTATGGTTACCGCCAAAAAAAAAAACGACGTAAAAAAAAAAAAACGGTAACCTGGTTGCCGAGTTCACGAAGTGAATTGGCTTGTTTTACAACGTCGTTGCCAAGCGACGAAAACCCAATCCCGATGGCAAACACCGAGCGGGGGGTAACACAGGGGGGGGCGGCTTATTTGACAACGTCGTTGCCAAGCGACGAAAACCCAACCCCGATGGCAAACGTCGGGGGGGAGGGGGGGGGATACTCACTCATGTAAAGGCATGCCGCAGGTAGTCGCTAGACCGTTGACCTCGCATGCTTCCCTCACAGTGCCGGGATAACGTCCATCCTACACACAACGATAAATGTTTACCTATTGCGGTGTAGGAGGCCGCGAGATTGTGTCTGACCGCCCCCAATGCATGTCCCTCATCCCTTGAACATCCCGTACCCCCCGCCCCCCCCCCCCCCCCGGGGGGCTTTCTTCCAAAAAAAAAGGGGGCCA